AGGCGAAGCAGACCTCGCGGAGAACGTTGTAAGTAATGGGGATCTCTTAGCTATTTCTGACATTGAGTCTAAACAGGAAGATGATTGGATCCTTGATTCAACGTTTGTGTTTCATATGTGTCATAATAAGGACTTGTTTGATACATATTAAACTATTTCCAAAAGTGTTATGGTTATGGAAAATAACGCACCTTATTGGGTTGTTGGAATTGGTACGGTCAGATTGAAACTTTTAGATGGAACAATTAGAGCACTTGGCCATGTTCGACGTGTTCTGGATTTGAAGAAGAATCTCATCTCATTGTCTATCATTGATTCAAAAGGTTATGAGTTCTTTGGTGGAGGTGGAGCTTTTGAAAGTTTGTAAGGGTGTCCAGGTTGTATTAAAGGGACGAAAAATATCTCAGTTATACATCTCGCAAGGACATGCAAAATTTAGAAGAGTTAATCAGCACAAGTTTAGTATCGTGGTGGAAATTCAGTTTGATACAATACCTTTAGGAGCTCATAAAGGGTTAGATTTGAAAAATACAACTCAGTGGAGTTTCGAAGATATGGGTAATGTCGCTTTGCCACCATTACCTGTGGTGTCGCTATATTCAATTGCTAGAGACAAGCCCAGTGAAACAAGTATGTGGATGTTAATTTTGTTGAGCATACTTTAAGTGGAGTAGAAGGTGTTCACTCTAGGAAGGAGCATTCGATAAAAGCATTTGGTATTGATTCTGCATTGGGGGTGTGTTACAGTCCATTTTGGTTAATTCAAAATCATTATGATTTTTGGAATTTGAGATAATTCTAGAAAAGTAGTGCTTGGATTTGTTAAAAAAGGTGAAATATTGTGTTTTGTTGAAAAAGTTAATTTTTTATTATTGATGAAGAAGTATGTTCATTCCTTGAATGAAATTCGTGTCAAGTTGGAGATTGTTGGAATTTGGGTGTGAACTCAATTCCTTTGTTGAAGTATTTGAATTATTGAAAAATTCTAATTAAAGTACACGTCATGAAGAATTCAAATTTGAAATTCTATTGTAGTTCTATATCAAGTTGAAGTTTTATTTTCGGATGTCCATTGGGAATTGAAAATTGGTATTAAACTTGAAAAAAAGTTCGAAATAGAAAAGAATATCACTGGAGGCATTTTGAAAATTTTTGGGTAGTAACCCAACGCCTAGGCGCTAGCTTGCTGTTTTACAACAGCAAGGCTGGTACCCCAGCGCTTAGGCACTACACCCAGGGTGCCTAAGCGCTATTGTCTCTATTCCCTTTTTTCGATTTTTTCTCTTCTATTTCATTTTGGACCCGATTTTTTGACATTATATTTCATCAACAATTCTATCAACATGGTTTGGACGTTCTCTATATGTTCCATATAAATACTAGACTATTATATACAATTTTGTAATGTGAGATATATGAATACTATAATTATAGGATCTATCGTAATTTTCTCTCCTCTCCATTATTTTTTAGTCAAAATAAAATCTTTTAATTCATCTACCATATTTCTTGCCTTCTTTTATTCTTTTACTTGTGTTCACATAGTTCATTATTCTGAAATGTAATTTCAATATCTCAAGCCGATGGTTGGTTTCATAACACATAATAAAATATTTTATACGTAAATTTAAAAAAATTCTCTATTTTTTACACAAACATTTTTCACTATTCAAAACTCTATTTTACCAGATAATATTTTACCCAGATAATAGTTATCGTACAGAGGCTCAATTATCTTACCTCAAAGAAGGTAAAATTAACTTAAACNGATTACTGTTAAAACTAGATTGATATTAAATATAATGCCACATAGTATTATTGATTTTTCTACATGCCACTTAACATGATAACACATTTCACATTCCAAGGTATTGTGACAAATAATTTTGAATGAGCCCAGGAAAGGTTTTGTCACTGTACTTTATATAAACCTTTAACTTAGCCTCTTTTTGACAATCATTATTTCAAAATTATTTTCTTACATACTTATTTTTAGTCACGCATTACATAATGTTAGAATTTGGGTGTGAACCGAATTCCCTTATTGAAGTGTTTGAAATATTAAAGAAATCTAATTAAAGTGCATGTCATGAAGAATTCAAATTTGAAATTCTATTATAGTTCTATATAAAGTTGAAGTTCTATTTTGGATACCCATTGGGAGTTGAAAATTGATATTAGACTTAAAGAAGAATTCGGAATAGAGAAGAACATCATTGAAGGTATTTTGG